TTTCCCCTTTTTTTTTTTTTTTTTTTTTTTTAGTCCTCACCGGAAGATATGTTTTTATTGATTTTTTGAGAGAGAGAAACATCATTCGGTTGCCTGCCATACAGGCCCCAACCAGGGATTAAACCAGCAGCTTTTTTTGGTGTACAGGATGATGCTCCAGCCAACTGAGCTACCTGGCCTATATCTTTTGATTGGAGTATTTAATCCATTTAAATTTAAAGAAATTATTGATAGGTATGTAGTTAATTGCAATTTTATCATTCACATTTTTTGCCTTTTTTCTTCCTCTTTTTCTTAACTCAGTCTCTTTAACTCTTTGGCCATGATGAACTCCTTTAGCTTTTCTTGTCTGGGAAGTCCTTTGATTCTAAATGATAGCCTTGCTGGGTAGAGTAATCTTGGTTGTCCGTCCTTGCTTTTCACCACTTTGAATATTTCCTGTCAACCCCTTCTGGCCTGTAAAGTTACTGTTGAGAAATCAGCTCACAGTCTTTTTAAAATTTTATTTGATTGATTTTTAGAGAGAGAGGAAGGCAGGGAGAGAGAGATTTGGTGTTCTACTTATTTATGCATTCATTAGTAGATTCTTATATGTGCCCTGACTGGGGATCAAACCCACAACCTTGGTGTATCAGGACGATGCTCTAACCAACTGAGCTACTTGGCCAGGGCTTAGCTGACAGTCTTAAGGGTGCTCCCCTCTAGATAACTGCTTTTCTCTTGCTGCTTTTAAGATTCTCTCATGGTCTTTAACCTGTGGCATTTTAATTATGATATGTCTTGGTGTGGGCCTCATTTGGTTCATCTTGTTTGGGACTCTGCACTTGTTGGACTTACATGTCTGTTTCCTTTGCCAGGTTAGGAAAGTTTTCTGTCATTATTTTTCAAATAGGTTTTCAATTCCTCCATCTTTCTCTTCTCCTTCTGGTACCTCTATGGTGCAAATGATGTTGTGCCCAGAGGCCCTTTAAACTATCCTTTTTTTGGATTCTTTTTCCTTTTTGCAGTTCAGATTGGGTGTTTTCCACTACCTTATTTTCCAAATTGCTGATTCAGTCCTCTGTTTCATTGAATCTACTGATGATTCCCTCTAGTGTATTCTTCATTATAGTTATTGCGTTTTAAATTTCTGACTGATTTTTTTTATCTCCATTTTTATTTCCTCTTTGTTGAAGTTCTCAGTGAGTTCATCTATTCTTCCCTTAAGTACATTGAGCATCCTTATAACCAGTGCTTTGAACTCTGCATTTGGTAGATTGTCTCAATTTTGTTTAGTTCTTTTTCTGGAGTTTTTCTCTTCTCTTTCATTTGGGACATGTTCTTTGTCTCCTCATTTTGACTTCCTGCCTGTGTTTGTTTCTGTGTATTAGATAGAGCTGCTGTGTCTCCTCATCTTGGTAGAGTGGCCATATGTAGTAGGTGTCCTGTGGGGCCCAATCTCCATGGTCACCTGAATCCATTGCTTCAGGTGTGTCCCTTGTGTGGGTTGTGTGTGCCCTCCTGTAGTTGAACCTTGATTGCTACTGGCATATCAGTGGGAGGGATTGACCCTGACTGTGAGGACTGTCCATGAGTACAGCAGAGGAGCTGTTGTGCAGGGACTGACCCTGTGGAGCAGGATTCACTTTAATAGGGCTCTAGTGTCCGCCGAATCTGCTCTTTGAATGTGTACTTTGTGGAGGTGCCTGGGTGGTGCTCTGGTGTGGCCTTAAGCTGGCCACAGGGTGTGTTGGTTCTAGGGCATCTTGGAAGGGGCTCTGGTGCAGGTCAAGGTCAGCTCATGCCTATGCCCAGCCCAGGGTTACCTGATACGAGCTACAAAGTGATCTGTGATGGTTGCCACTTGTGGTGGGCTTGGAGGCACCTGGGAGAGGTTAACCTGGGAACCACATTTGGCTGCCACTAGTGCCTGGCTAGGAGCTACTTAGCGGGAAGTATGGGACATGCTGAGGCCAGAAACTGCTTGTTTGGAGTTTGTGAACCTTTGAGAGATTTTAGTAAAGTTGTTTCTGGATTTGGACTACTGTGAATGAATAATACATTTTCTAACATTCTACTATGTGAGTTTATGAGTGAAATTACAGAGTTTTTGCATATACTTATCTTTTTGCTCTAGTAGCTATTACCATTGGTTATTATTATTTAAATATTTATGTATGTTAGACCTTCACATAGCATCTATATGCCTCTTTTAATCTTCTGTATTTTCTATTTTTGTCTTTATTTTCTTCAAATCTCTGTTCTAGTTCACTCATTTTCTCTTCAAATGGGTCTAATCTGTTGAAATCCATTGAATAGTAATTTTTAGGTAATTTAGGTAATTTTTTTCAGCTTATTTTATCCACTTGGTAATTTTTCATTGTTTTCAGTTTTCTGAAAACTTTTCTTTCAAATCTCCAAACAGATCAAGTATATTTTTAAAGTCTGCCTCTAATAATTCACAAATATGAATTCATTGTAGATCTGTTTCTATTATCTGTTTTTTTTAATCATTTCCTTCTGTTTTTATCATATTTTCTTGTGCATTTTCACTTGAGTGCTTGACAGTGTATATAAAAAATTGTTGAAATAATATAAAGGCATTTTCCTTAAAAGAGGCAGCCAACTAGTGGTACCTACAGTCCTGGATCACCTTAATCCAGTTATAGGAATCGAGATTATAGGAAGTTATGAAGGTTGTATTATTTTAAATTCTTCCATTATCCTTGGGTGTGGTCCTTTGGAGACCCAGTCTAAAGTGTAGAGTGTTTACCAAGGGTCCCTTTGTGAGTGGATCCTGGATTCTTAACTTTTACCACCCTGTCTTGGGCTCTCAAACATTCCGCTCAGCTTCTCAGTTTCACATCTGTTTCTTTTGGAATTGGCACATTTTTCTAGAGAAGAGCTGTTCCAGATGCTGCACTCAGCACTCCCAGTGTCCTCATTCTGGACCTGGGCTCCATGATTTTTTTTGCCTTGTTTTCCAATGCCTTCAAGTAGATGTCTTTAATATTTTGGTCTCATTTTCCCAATTCTCAATAGAAAGGTTGGTTCACATTATCCAAATCACTACTATAGGAAGAAGAATTCTGACAATAATTTTTTAAATGTGAAAAACAAATTTATTTTATAATTCTTATGTATGAATCATCAACTTTTACATAAACCCGGAGGAACATTAAAACTAATTCAAAGGAGGTTAGAGTTCAGTGATGCTCTTAGTTAATCATCTTAGAAGATTTCAGCTATTCAGAAAAGATTCATTTATTGTTCAAACTCTGTGTGTTTTTTATGTACAGAGTTTCACTTTTTATTAATTTTTTTAGCTCCTTTAAAATTAATACCGATGACTAGGTCACATGGATTAATATCTGTGTGTAGAGGTCCATACAGTGCTATTTGCTCATGTGTGGCAACACGTGACCCTGGGGACTTTGGTATTGCTTTGTGTTATCTAAAAGGCTGAGGCTTTGTATGTAGCAGATGCGGTTGAATGAGTGGTGAGTGGGTTATGATAAACTAATACAACATAATCCTGTACATTAAATAAGCAAAGGTGGAAGGGTTAGTTTCAGAATAACCAGTTTCCTAACTGTTATTTTCTGTGTATGCATTTTTTTTAAAGATCTCTGCACTTGTCCTAAGAGCCCAAGCATCTGAAGTTTTACTTGAAGAGTTAAAACAGGGGTTTTCCCAAGCAAAGAGGGATGTTCAGGAACAGATGGTAAGTTAACATTTAAATAAACGTTAAGTCTGTTAAATATAGTCCTTTGTGTTCTATCTTGAAATCATCTTTGATAGGACTTTATCTCCCAGGCTGAAGTAGTTACTGTTACGTTCTCCAGGGCCTATAGAACATTAGTAATGGACAAGATTGTTTAGACATTATTATGTAAAGACGTTCTTTCTTGCCCGAGCCAGTTTGGCTCAGTGGTTAGAGTGTCATCCCGAAGACTGAAGGGTCCTGGGTTTGATTCTGGTCAAGGGAACATACCTCAGTTGCAGGCTCCACCCCTGTCAGGGCATGGGCGGGAGGNTGTTAAAAACAGATTTCTGTGTGTGAAAAGATAAATTTTAGTAGCTATTGTTAAAATAAAATGTAAGGCCCTGGCCGGTTTGGCTCAGTGGTTAGCGCATCAGCCTGCGAACTGAAGGGTCCCGGGTTTGATTCTGACCAAAGGCACATATCCAGTTGCAGGCTCGATCCCTGGACCCAGTTGGGGCTCATGCAGGAGGCAACCAGTCAATGTGTCTCTTTCACATGAGTGTTTCTCTCTCTCTCTCTCCCTTCCACTCTCTCTGAAAAGGAATGGAAAAAATATCCTTGGGTGAGGGTTAAAAAATAATAATAATAATAATAAAATAAAATTCTTTAGCCTTAAAAAAAAAAAAAAAAGACATTCTTTTTTTCTTCTTTTTTTAAAATATGTTTTTATTGATTTTAGAGAGAGAGGAAGGGAGAGAGAGATAGAAACATTGATGGGAGAGAATCATCAAATAGCTGCCTCCTTCACACCCCCTACCGGGAATTGAGTTCACAACCCAGGCATGTGCCCTGACTGGGAATCAAACCAGTGACCTCT